AACCTCTGAGGATGCCTGCCATAGATGTGGGCGAAACGTCAGGAGAGAATGCTTCTGGAACATGGCCATACAGCCCGGAAAACTCATAGCAACCCAAAGTAGAAATTATTTAAAGAGGCAGCTGTAGTTGTCCTCCCATTTAAGAAGTGGGCATAGGAGGCCTGAACTTTCATATGGGTAATGGTGGGGCTTTAAACCCCTTCTCTCCCACCACCCTGACAAAATAGTGATCTGTTTGAATTCTGAACCACAATTTTGGGATATCAATCACAAGCTCATTGAACTAGTCTGAGATCAATTCCATGACAGGGGGTGGAGAAAGTTCAAGCCCATTTCTAACACCTTGATATATTCGAAATTAGCTGTTCTGTGCTTAGCAAGGAAAGCAACTTAGGGTGCATTTACACTGTAGAATCAATGCAGTTTGGCCCTACTGGTTCAATGCTATTGAATCCTGGGATTTGTAGTTTGGTGAGGCTCCAGCCTTCTTTGGCAGAGACTGCCAAGACCTTGCATCTATGGCAGGCATCCTCAGAGATTGTGATGGTAGCTTAGTTTACATGAAGCTGTTCTTGACTATTGCATACTGACAAAATTCTAGTTCTGTTATTTGTTTCTTTATCTCCTCCACTAATATCCCCCTATACAGAAATGAAATGATATAATTATCTCTAGATTATTCTTATGTAGAGCCTTATGAAGCTGGAACAGATGACCTTCACATTTCTTACTGTTTTTGAAATCATATTGTATGAAGGCACAATTACTCAGTTGTCAATGCCTACTCATACCTGAATCTGAACAAACAAAACACATCCACTCATCCATCTTCCTCTCACTATTTGCTTTTAAAGCAGTTATCATGACAGGATTATTTCAACCCCTTTAGTGTGGAAGAAAAAGGCCTTAGGTTTGTTTTCCTTCCTTTAACGGTGTCAGTTCATCAGTCACTAGATCATAAAACTCAGCTTTGAAGGTGATTTTTGTCTCTGGTAGATGTGTATCACTTAATGTTTGCTCTTTAGAAGGTAAGTGATAGTCATTCCTTCTTCCACTGTATTGAAGGGAGAAGGTGACTGGTTCAGAATTTTTCAGGGTTTAAATGATTTTTGGCAAACTAGAGAGAAGCAGATAAATGGGTTGGTTTTGCTCATTTCAAAGACTATGCATTTGCCATTAAACAGAATGGTTAGATTACTGTTGCAGTATATGCTTGCACTCAAGGAAGAGTGTTCCCACCTAGAGTGCCAACCAGGATGCGCAATTGCAGGGTTTGTTTCCAGAAGGTACCAAATCCAAATAGATTGAAAAATGAGTTATAGGTGACAGCACATTGTTGGCTAGGACTAGAATATTATATACAGAGCAGAACTATCAAACTGTATCAAATCATTTCAGTACACGACTCAGAAAATTGATTTTTATAGTAAAAGAATGCATATTCTTATCCAGCATTTTTTTAAAAATTCCTGTAAAACGTGTTTATATTGATTTGGTACCTTTTAGAAACAAGCACCACAATTTCATTCCAATCTCTTAATCCTGATTTTCTTAGCAGTTCGAAAACATGCAAATGTTAGTAGATCAATAGGTTCCACTGCGGTGAGAAGGTAACGGCGCTCCATGCAGTCATGCCAACCACATGACCTTGGAGACGTCTATGGACAATGCCGGCTCTTCAGCTTAGAAATGGAGATAAGCACCACCTTCCAGAGTTGGACACAACTAGATTTAACATCAAGGGGAAACCTTTACCTTTACTTTGCTATTCTGTGGCTGAATAATATCTTGATTTTTCCAAAGTGAAATGAAACCTTCTTCACTATGTTTTGCCCCATATTTGGCATTTGCCATCTGAGTTCACTTTTAGCGGAATTGATCTGCCAGCATAAGGTATCTAGAGAGATAATGAGGCAGGTCTTGGTATAAGAACAGACAGTTTTTGGTATAAAAACCTGTGAAGAAGTACTGGTTGTTCTGGTTGTAGACTGGGAAATGCTGTCCAAAGGCTTCGGATTGCTTAGCCAAAGTGCCTGCCTCTCCTGTAGCATTTATGAATACGGTTTTCACCATTGGATGTGCAGTGTGGCTAATACTTGGGCTTTGTGGTATTCGTTTTCAGACTTATAAGGCTCAGCCTTCCTAATAGCAGAGGCTAAAGCATGGGATGGGGAGCTGGAATCCTCTCTTGGCTGCAAATCAGATCTTTATTGACCGTCATTCATTTAAAAATTAAATCAAAACCTCAGCATATAGACTTCTGGTGTTGAGTTGGAATTGTTGTAATCTCTCTTTTTGTGAGAATGGTGGACAAGCATTTATTCAGTCTGTCATTTGAATTACGTGCTGGAATGGTACAACACACATCCAGATTTGTCAGTACCAGTTTTGCTATGTTTTGGCCTATGGCACAAAATCACTGTTGTATGCAGGGATTTGATCAAGGTTATATATATGACAATTCCTCCTTCTTGTTCTTACTCCCTAATATAATGTGTGGAGTCTTTCAAAGCATTCCCTTTTTAAACTAAACAAGTTGTCTGTTTTTATTAATGGACACAATGCAGCTTGAATTAATTTGGGATTAATATCTGCATTCTCATTTGAATATCAGTAATGCAGAAGCAACTGAAATTCTCTTCCAGATATGCTTATCTGTTGCCATTGATCTTTCTTAAAAACCAGGAAAAGTTTTCCCTCTTCTCTCCTTTTTATCTCTTTTGTTTAAGCACTGATTCTGCTCTACTATTAAATTGCTGGTTTTATTTTGATATGCTATGTTACTGAATTTTATCTGAAATGAGTTTTTCAGTAGCCTCAAGGACTCTTAATCTGAAGTGTAAAGTAGATAATATTATTAAATAGACTAGTCTAAAAGCTCTTTCTCTGTTGTGCCAGAGATAAATATGCCACTTTTTCGTGTTAGGAGCGATTTGAGAAACTGGCCCTCTGTAAAGATGCTACCCAGAGGACGCCCAGATGTTTTACCATCCTATGAGAGACTTCTCTCATGTCCCCCCATGAGAAGCTGAAGCTGACAGAGGGAGCTCACTTGCTCTCCCAGGATTCCAACTGCTGATCTATCAGTCAGCAGGCCTGCCGGCACAAGGGTTTAACCCATTGCACCACTGGGGGCTGTAGTGTATGCCACTGATAAAATCATATTGCATATCTGATCAATTGACTTTGAACTAAAAAAAGTGGGATATAAATGAAAAAGTTAACATCTCCTGAGTCCTATCACATATTCTCCTGGTTCATATTGACCTTTCAGTTAACTCCTCAAATAAAAACAACAGACTGAAAATCTAAACATACAACATCTGTTGTCTACAGAAACAAAAGTTTTCAGCCCAAAAGGATTGCTATCTTAAATCTCACTTCCTCCAGAGAAATCCAAGAAGACAATGTCTGCAGCACTCTAGCTATTAAAATTCAAAGCAGATAGCAGGATGTTTCTGTACACTGCTCAATCTTTTCTTGGAACATTCTTCCTTAAAGGATAAGGTCCTAAGCACACTTACTGTAATTATTTATTATGATTTACTTTAATTTTATCCCACCTTTCTCCTAATATAGGGACTTAATGCAGCTAACAAAAAGTATAACTCTGAGTCCCCTTGTGGGGAGAAGGAAATGATGCTCATAAAAAACAAATGGAAATACATTAAAATGGAAATATGAAATTTAAAAAACAGTGAATTTATTATATTAAAAAGATATGAAATATTTAAAATCTTAAAATGTATCAAAATTTATTCCCATATACTAAATAGTGTTGAATTCAGTAAGTAAGCAAGGTGTTGCTCTGCAAAGCACTCATTTCCAACAAGAGCTTATTTAATTCAGGTATATTATCAGCGGGTCATGGTGGCATTCCGTCTCGTGTCTGTTTTTAGGTAATTAAAGTAACTAAACATTAACATCTTTCCCAATAAAAATGAAGTGGATGTGAACTATCTTGGTGCTCCAAGCATTCCAGGTGGATCAGAAAATTTTACAGGGAAGCCAAAAATCCTCTAAATAACTAGAGAATAAAGCCAGATAGGAGTGCTCTGCTCGCACAGCAGGTTAAATCGCTGACCTGCTGAACTTGCTGACTGAAAGGTTGGCAGTTCGAATCTGGAGAGCAGGGTGAGCTCCTGCTGTTAGGCCCAGCTTCTGCTACCCTAGCACTTTGAAAACATGCAAATGTGAGTAGATCAATAGGTACTACTTCTGCAGGAAGGTAACAGCGTCCCATGCAGTCATGCCAGCCACATGACCTAGGAGACATCTACGGACATCACCAGCTCTTTGGCTTAGAAATGAAGTTGAGCACCATCCCCCAGAATCGGGCATGACTAGACTTAATGTCAGGGGAAACCTTTACCTTAAAGACAGATTGCAAATGTCTTCAACTATGGTGAATTAAAATAGTTGGGCAAAGTTCTTCCCCCAAATAAAAATGTAGATAGATTATTCTACTTTGTAGCATAAACAAATGGGTAAGATGCAAATGGTTTTGAAAGGACACATCCGTCAAAAGATGCTTTAAATTCACTGCAGTACATTAGGCTTCAAGCCAATACTGAATCAGAATTAAGTTCTATTGAACTAAGTGGGACTTAATCCAAAGTAGATACATATATCTACATATATTGGATTCTGTATCCTAAGGGTACCACATCTTGCCTGACTATGGAAGCTAAGCCTGGGTTAGTACATATGATGGAGACTGTCAACAAATACCAGGTGCTGTATGCTAAATTTCAGAAGAAGGGACTGGCAAAATCACCTCTATGAAAAATTCGTGTGGGCTCCATAGTCTGACAGTCAACTTAAAGACACACGTATATAGATACACAATTGATATTTATTAGACTCATACTAGTACTCAATCTAGGTGAAACAGAGAGATGTATATTTCTTAAGAGAGTATATTTTCTTGTAAATGTACATTTTCTGCAGAATATAATGATTTATGTTTTCTTTTCTTCTCTCCTTTAATTGTAATGTAGGAATTCTGAAGTGGGTGAAACTGATAGACAACTTCGATGCAGAATATGAGTATGTCACCAACGAGGGAACCACCTTTACTTTCAAAACAAACCGCCATGCTCCAAACTATCGGTTAATTAACATTGATTTTAGTGATCCAGAGGAAGCCAAGTGGAAAGTGCTGGTTCCTGAACATGGGAAGGATGTTCTAGGTAAGACTACAATGTGGGAGAAAAAGGAGACTTGTGCAAACGATTGTGATCCTGAGAAAGACTTAAGTTAGTCAGCCACAGGAACAATGTCTGTATGTAAGAAACATTTTTAAAGCCAAATAACCTCTTATAAAAAACACAGTTGTTCAGTAATGACTACTATATGAAAGATAGATGAGTAATGCACAATGATTTTGTTTTTTGAAAGGCAGATATATCTTTTGAAGGTGGAGATGGAGCGGGGTTTAGATAAAGTTTTATTATTTATTTATTAGATGATTCTAAAAACTCTTCCTTTCCAAATAGTTGTTTTAATGTATGACTATCAGGAAGAATTATACATATATAAAGTTGTATTAACCCTTAAAAAAAAAGAAAAATGCTAGACTCCTGTGTTCCAAAAGAACCATAGAAATTGTCATAGTCATTCGATTGCAGTCCGAGGGAGAACTTGTCACCCTAAAGAAATCTTGTCTTAATGCTGAAAAATCAACGTGCCATCATGTCTTAGTGTTTTAGTCACTTCCAAGATTTGGTTAGGAAAGAGAATTATAGTAGAAGGTGGTTAATAATGTATTTCCCCGAAAGCTTTGCAGTCAAGTGAATTTTTCATTTCACCTGATATGACGATGACATGTTAATGAAATGTCTTGTGCAAAAACAAGGCATAAGAATTCAAAGGTTATGTCGTTATTATGTAGGAAGCAGTTAATTCTTCATTACAAACTGCATCCAGATTATTCATAGCTTAATTATTGCACGCTTCTTTCTTTATCCATTTTGTATTTTTCCCTTTAAAAATGATCTGAGGCAGCATTTTATTTTATATTATTTTTCCCTCTTAAACATATCAATCATGTGCTGGTATATAAAAATGTCTGTGCATTGAAGATAAATAGTATGTTTGTTTTGGATTACAGTGATTTTTTAACCTTTTCTTACACATAATTTCCTGCATGCATATTAGTCTTTCCAGTTGTGGATACCCATCTGGAGTGCATATCAAAGGATTTTTTGCTTCAGAGTAAACCCCACTGATAGTGTGCTATATGCTGAGTCCCTGTTCAACACCAAACTTGGAGAGTGTTCCCCTTTTCGTTGACCTATAGCTGACATAATCTGAAAGGGGCTCTTTCCAAACTCTTGTTTCTCTATGTAGGATGAGAGTAGCAGATGTAGGCCATGACTCAAGTAAAACCAGTATCTATTAAATCCCACTTAAAACAATAAAACTGGAGTGAGGCATAACTAACTTCTTCCATTGAGTTAAACAGAACATGTAGTTCTAATAAGGACATTTAGTAAGATGTACCCCTTACATCTCGGCAGCCAGACTTCTAACTGGGGCAATTTACAGGGAGTTGTCAACCCCTCTGTTTAAGGAGCTCCACCGGCTGCCATTCATTTTCCAGTCCCAATTCAAGGTGCAGGTCATCACCTATAAACTCTGAATGGTTTGGGACCCACCTGCCTTTGTGACCGCATCTCCTACCACAGACCTGCACGATCTCTTTGATCCTCTGGAGAGGCCCTTCTTTCGCCCATTCATCTATCACAGGCTCGACTTGTGGGAAAGAGGGAGAGGGCCTTCTCCATTGTGGCGCCCCATTTTTGGAACTCACTACCTAGGGAGATCAGGCAAGCCCCTCCCCTAGCTGCCTTCAAGAAAGATCTAAAAACTTGGCTCTTCCGATGTGCCTTTGGAGAGTGACCACTCAACCCATTTGTTTTGTTTCTACCTACAGTTGTCCCTATGATAAAGCACCTTCCCTTGTCTCCTATAAAGGCCAAACCCCACTGCTCCTCCTTCTCGGGCTCCTCTCTCATAAATGCACTTTTATTCCTATCTCACCCAGGGTTTTAACCTTTTAACCTTTTATCTCATACATCTGGTCCACCCTATACATACCGGGCCCTAGGGAGGTACACCTGGAAGCTACAAGGCGTAGAGCTTTTTCAACCTATGCTCCAATTCTGTAGAACTCATTGCCTCCATACATTTGAGCAATGTCGGAGTTGCGACCTTTTGTAAAGGCACTCAAGACTTGGCTGTTTGGTTGTGCATTTAAGTAATCGGATCTAATTTACCAAATAGTCACTGTTGAATGTTTTTATGTTGAATGTTTTTATATTGTGTAGATGCTATTTTAGACTGTAAGTCGCCCGGAGCACCTTGGTGGAGAGCGACTAATTAAGAAATAAAGTGAAGTGAAGTGATTTTACTATGCCATTGTATATTGTTTATTTTATTTGTTATTTTATATATTTTGTTATGATATGTTTCCCTACCATTTTGTGTCTAACTGTGTTGTATTATTTTGGGTTTGGCCTCATGTTAGCCACCCCGAGTCCCCTTTGGGGAGATGGTGGCGGGTTATAAATAAAGATGATGATGATGATGATGATTACTAATTGGGCTTTTAAGCATATCTCCCTCTGGTCATGAAGGACCTTTTGTTGTGAATGGAAGGGATGGGAAGTGATTTTTGTTCCTCTTTCTTTAATCCATTCGCCAATTATGGTTGGGACAGTACAGCAACAGCGGAAGAAAGTGAAATCTAGAGAAATTTCTCTCACACAGACGCACAAATACACACACACTTTACATGAGCAGTAGATACAGTTAGGTCCAACTGTTATGATCAAAGTAGGCATTAAAGGAAAGGTGTATTCCCTCAAATGAATGTCTCATAAAGAGCCTTCATGTTAATTCAATATTAAGGCTCTTTATTATTCTCAATTTCTTTAGAATGGTTTGTTGGCTCCTTTGACATAGAAATGGCAAGAAAGTATGTCTGTTTTCTGTCTTAGGTCACTAATTTTTTTAGCTCAAAAGCACGAGAGTTGGATTAGAAAGAGAGGCTTCATGCATTTTTCAGTAAAAATTAGAAATTATGCGGCTCCATCTGTCACCATTGGCTGTGGTAGATAAGGGTACTGACAGTTGTTGTTCAATAGCAACGTGTTAATCATTGCTTCAGTTATGTTATGATATTGGGTTTTTTTGTTTATTTTATGCAGTTGTTTTGCACTAAGGCCTTCTCACTTGTTGCTAGTTTCACTAGATACAAATGTGATATCCAGATTTTTGTTTAGAAACAAAACATATTATTTGCTGATTTAAAAGTTGACCCATATTAACATGAAATAATAATCATCATCATCATCATCATAATCTTTATTTATATTCTGCTCTGTCTCCCCGAAGGGACTCAGGGTGGATTCCAAACATAAAAGGCAAACATTCAATGCCCGAATACAACAACAATACATTCATATTAACAAAATTTAAACAAGCCAACATATAAACATGAATTATAACTTAACGACTAAAATTAATAATGACATATATGGACTCTGAACCCTGAGCATGAGACTGTTTTATTATTTTATTATGTACTGATGTTTTTAATTAATTGTTGAATTGTTTGTATTTGTATTGCTTGTGAATTGTCTTGGGCATCTAATCGTGCCCCCACTGTAAGCCGCCCTGAGTCCCCCCCGGGGTGAGAAGGGCGGGGTATAAGTAAATGAAATAAATAAATAAATAAAAAACACAGTCTGTTATAACAGACATATGAAATACTAAATATATTTCTCAATATCCATATAATTATATTTCTATATAAAACTAAATATATTTCAGAATATCTAATGTTGTAATGCTGCGATATATAAAATAATCAAGATCACTGCATCTTAAACTGTGGGTCCTGCCCCCAAATGGGCTTCACTTAGCTCAGTGTTGGGGTCCCAAAAATTTGGCAACAGTAAAAGTTTTCTGAATGTCACCTAGTAGCTGTTTTAGACATTTTCACAAATCCATTGTTCTGTGTTTACAATGGTCTCTGCAGAGGATGCTTCAGCTGTACTTCATATAAAGGAAAATCAGTCCTGACAAAGGCTGATTTGTCATTAGTACATTTTTTATTTTTATAACTATTTTATATGCCTATATACGTAGGGTCATGTAAACATTTCTCAGTTTGAAAGGGTCACGAGCGGAAAGGTTTTATAAGCCCAGATCTAGATAATATATTTAAGTCCTACATTTTAAAAAAGTGATGTTCCTTTTAAACCAATATTTTGAATATGGCTTTTTTTCCATCCAATCACAGAATGGGTATCTTGTGTAAGATCGAACTTCCTAGTGTTGTGTTATCTCCATGATGTGAAGAATGTTCTCCAGCTTCATGACCTAGCAACTGGTTCTCATCTCAAGACTTTTCCATTGGAGGTTGGCAGCATTGTAGGTTATAGTGGCCAAAAGAAAGACACTGAAATATTTTATCAGTTTACTTCCTTCTTATCACCAGGTAAGATATATAATTTTTTTGCATTTTGAAGCCTTTACACAATGTGTTGTTTGAAATCTTGATGGATATTGTGACAGCATAACTTTTGACATACTTCTGTACAAAGGTGCCCAGTACTTCCTTACACAGTTCTGAATGTATCAGCAGAATGGAATAAATAAGTGTGCACAGTCCTTCCTCCGTCCCACAAGTCTCTGAGATCTTGGCCATATTTTTTGCATATGTTTTTCCCAATCTATTTAAATGCTTGTTAAACATAAAGTCAACAGCATCTGTCAGTGTAACACATAAATGTACATGTTGTGTGTGGATAGGTGTGCTGTCTGTACACAATAATGTAAACATAATAATTTTTCTTATGTATTATCTGCTTTAGAAGCAGATATTTTTATGTTTAGGAAGTCTGGATGACCTTGTGAAAAGACCTGTATTTTAAACAGGGCTGTAATTTAATTTGCTTTAAAGATCAATTTGATCTCATGAAGATTACATATTAACCAATTAATTAATTGCATATTAAAAAGTGTTTTTATCTGACTTTATTTAGAGCTACCCTTCCTTAAATTGTATAATGATTACATTGTAAACAATTCATAAAAATCTCTTGAGTGCTGCAGCAAGGGTGAATGTCTAAGGCATTAATAATTTGTGCTTTGCTTTGCCATAGTTATCTACATCGCATAAATATTTCCCTGATTAATGCCTTATGCAACATTTACTTTTAAGATGTTCCTTTCAAACAGGTATGCATGGTGACTCTTCCCTCCCCTCTTTTTTACCAATTGACAACACTAGCTGGACACCTTAGAAGTGGAAAAATGAAGATAGTTTAAAAAAACCTTACGGTTCCATCCCTAAATGGTTCTGGCCCAGCATACCTGTCTGAATGTATCTCCCTCTATGATCCACCTTGGAGGCTAAGATTGTCAGAGGAAGTCCTGCTCTTGGACCCACCCCCCTTGCAAGCGTGACTGGTGAAGCGAGAGATAAGGCCTTCTCAGTTGTGGCCCCTCGTCTGTGGACATTCCTCCCCAGTGAAATTAGATTGGCCCCTTCCCTCCTAAACTTCCAAATTACATTTTGTAATAAAGAAGGTATATATTGACATAAGGAACAGGGTAACAGTATAGTTCAGTGAAACAACAAGCAGACTTTGTGTGTTTAATAAAATCCTACCATTCAGTTTTATTTTGATTTTATCATATATATGAAATAGTAAAAAAAATATTGTTCCCCATCTTAATACAATCCTGAATGCCACCGAATTTACAAAATTAGCTTATTAAGAAGGAAGGTTCACATTTTTCCTGACATTATCTTTTCTGAGTTCAGGTAGATTTGTTTCTGTGCATGACCACACAAACAAGCCATTCCTACTATTTGAATTAGCACTTCAAAGTTTTATTATGACATTAATACATGTGGCCAATGCCATAAAGGCCTGATTCTTGGATAGCATTATTCATGCTGCCTTCATCACTAACATCCCATCACCTTCAAAAGTTGTCTTTTTTTGAATGATAATTCCAAGAATATGAAACTTTTTCAAGCTCATGGCTTGCAGAGTAAGACCATAGGGTCTGTTTCTGAACAAGGATTTGACTCATATTTAGCTGAATAAAAATGAATTCTTCTTTGAACCTGGCTGCTGCATGTGACAAGTCTGGGAAATAAAATGTCAGAACTTGGTATCTTTGAATCATTTACTAAGAGGCCACCCTTATCTCATGCTGAGCAATGCATGAAGAGAGCTTATATTTCTGCTGAATATTATTTTGTCAGCAGAAAGTCATTTGCTTTCTAGGTCAGCCTTTCAGTGATTCACAGTTCCTTGGCTTTGTACAAATGCTTATCTGATAAACTTTGAGGACCCACATCAAAGTGTCCTGAGGGTGACTGGGTAATTACTGAAAAATGCTTCTGATGCCAAAGAGGGAGAGAGAGAGAGGCCGTACAAAGAGATAAAATCACATTCACTTTCCAGGTAGCCAATTAAACTTTGTGTGAAGCTATTGTCAGTTTTTAGCAGAAAGAAATGTATTTCTGAGCCTAGCCTTTGAAAGCTCCTGGCTTTTGCTATTAAAACAAACCCATAATTTACATTTTCCAAAGCTGAGTCGTAAGTTCCAGGTGTTGTTGTAGTCGTGTGCCTTCAAGGCCCCATCTGCACTGTGAGGTAATGCAGTTTCATAATGCACTTTAACTGCAATAAACTGGATTATATGAGTACAATGCCATATAATCTGCATTCTGAAACTGAATTATATGATAGTGTAGATGGGGCCTATGGCTTGCCCAAGGTCATCCAATGGATTTCCATGGCAGAGGGTGGGTTTGAACCCTGCTTTTCAGCATTGCAGTTCAATGATCAATCCACTATACCACATCAGCCTTTTCTAGCAGGATTAATAAATCTACTCTATTCCTTTAGTCTGCAATTAAGAGGATGAGTAGTGAACACAACAGAGTCTGAACAGCAGTTTGCAGCGTACTTCAGAGAGCAAGCAGATATAAAAATGACAACATCCTTTCTCCTCTTTCTTCTGTAGCAGCAGGACAACAAATGTGTTTCCTCCTGATAGTCTCACGTTGTGGTTCCCTTTCTTGTCTTTCTAAGTAGGGAAAAAAGAATTCAGGAACTGCTCTTAGGCAGATGGGTGCTGACAGCATTTGCAGCATAGTATGCCCTACTGCCGCTACTCATCGCTCTCTCACACACATTTTTCCTTGGCATGTACTGCAGTAGTACATCTCCATACTCGCAGAGGCGTTACGAGCTGTATAATTAGAACTGTTTGCTATTTTGTTGCATAATGTTTGCTTACAAAGCAATTTAAATTGCTTTCAAGACTGGGAAAGCTAGGTATTATTTTTAAACAAATAATTATAAAGCCTCATTGGGATCTTACTGTTGACCAGGAAGATTTCTTCTAATAAGAACTCTAAATGTGGAACTGTCTGAATTTCTTTACTAGAGTGAGCCTTCTGGGGATAGTTTGCTAGAAAATGTGTGTCATGTTTTATTAGGTAGAGACAGCTCTTTCTTAAAATGATATTGGACTTAGGCAAAATCCTCAAAGTTAACGAGGCATAAAATTCAAATGCGCCAATACGAATGAAGTTGTGTTTAAAGGGCAAGCACAAGTAGCTGTGAAGGTAGGAAATATATGTAAGCATTGGAGAGGAACTGACAATGTCAGCAGATACCACTTAATGAAAGCCCCCCCCCCCCCATTGTTCTTGTTCTGTGGTACCTACTAAAGTACCATGAATTCATTTTTCTTTCTTGCATGATCCTTGATGTACTCACGACTCAGAGAAAGAAACATTTATGGATAGGAGGAAGGAGAACATAGCATGTATGCTGATATTTTAAGCAAGCTCGCATGCAGAAGCTGATTCTTTAAAAACATAAAAAGTAATCTTTCTTTTTTAAAAAATAATCATCTTTATTGTGAGAATTTTTACAATGATAAAATGTAACTTGAAAGGGAAGAGGGAGGGGTGATGGGTAGGAGTAGGGAAGGGGATGAGGGGGAAGGGAAGAAAGAAAAAGAAGAAGAAAAAAGAAAATAAATAAAGAATTGTGGAATAAAAAGTAGAATAGTAGGTGAACTTCCAGGCCATTCCGCGGGGAGATTTATGAATTTTTATATCTTTATGTTCTGTTTGGTTTTCATATCACCTTTTTCCCCTTGTTTCTCTTTCTTTTCTCCTTTTAAATCAACTTTTTTTTGGATGTGAGGGCAATCTGGCTGCAACATCTGTCACCCCATTGATCGCCAGGGTTGAAAAAGTAATCTTTCAATGAGTTAGAGAGATTGTTCTGATCTGATGGTGAAGAATGGGAAATACAAATGAAATTGTGGAAGTTCAACTACAAAACCTTTCAAAACCCCACTGAATGTTTATATTTGTTTACAGTTTCCCATAATAAGTTGTTTACTTTAAAGTGTTTAGCCATTTTCGTGTTGCATTGCAACCGTTAAAGGCTGAAATAACAATACAATTGTAACTCAAAAGTTGTGCAAGCTTGTAGAGGGTTAGGTTTAAGCACACTCTTCTACTGATACCACAAATACTCCTCTGGCAACAGAATTCTCTGAAATTACTTGCATAGTTACAGTGGCATGCCGTTACTAAATGTGCAGGAGGAATAACCTTCATGCTACTGTTCTGCTCTTCTTTTATTTATTTACAGTATTTATATTCCACCCTTCTCACCCTGAATGGGACTCAGAGTGGATTACAATGCACACATACACAGCAAACATTCAATGCCATTTTCTAGACACACATACAGACAGACAGAGTTATTTTTGGCATTTCCACTTCGGTTCCTGGAGGTTGTGCTCAATTCTGACTACAGCGGGGAGCTGTCGCTTCATCCACTATGACGCAGAGTCGTTTTGATCGTATTTCCTCCTTGCTATTTGACCACTGGCATTTTTATGGTATCGTAAAATACCTTCCTGCTTTAAGTGGTCCCTAATGTCTCTACTCATAGCTCAGACATTTTCAAACTGATTAGGTGAACAGTAAGCTAGGCTTAACAGTTGGGTACTCAATCTGACTCGGGCTTCAAACCTGTCGCCTTCCAGTCAGCAGTGATCTATTGCAGCTGGTGATTAACCAGCCGTTTATGTAAAAGTCATAACAAGATGGATGTGAAGAAAGTGTGCTATATACTTTCTGGCTGTATATAAGGGGCACCTTTTGCTACATCATTGTATATAGCTTGAGCATCCACAGATTTTGGTATCCATAGCAGAGCAGGATAAACCAAGAACCCACTATATGTGATATATTTTGATGAGCCATTTATGATGCATATAGCAAAGTACATTTTACCCAGTTTAATGTTAAGAAAAATGAAAGGGAAAAATGCCTAGCTTATTCTGCTTAATGTGCAATATCACTAAACATGCTATTAACCAAGGTGGAAAGGCAGACAAGTATTCTGGAATTGCCTTGAATATAATTTTCCTACATTCACCATTGCAGGAGACTGATATGAGTAACTGCATTTCTTATGCAATGAATGAATGTCCCTGAAATAAGAGATTGTCTTTGTTTTTCTTATTCTGGAATGAAACAATGCCATGTGAAATAGGAAGGTTTTGACCATAGGGTATTTTGGCAGAGGATGATGATAGCAATTCCTTGAGAAAATGAAAATGAAAAGGAAGAACTTTTCATGGTGTATTCATTCATTTGGAAGGTGTCCAGTGCTAGCTTTTTATATACAGGTTCTAAAATAAAGCATTTTATTGCTTCTCAAAGGCCTTTGTGATGTGAAGCCTTGCATGATGAACAGTGTTATTACTCCATGGTAATAATACAAAGAGTTGTTCACGAAGCTCATTTTAAACAGAAGCAAGAATAGATGCTGCACTGCGTCTTTCTTGAGGGTTTCAACCAGTCTAAAGGAGAAGAAATGAAAATATATTAAACTAGTTATTGAAACATATGAAATATAATGGGCTTGGGAAGGCACCATGATTAAATGGTTTATGAATTGAGTAGGGCTCTGTGAAGCCAGGATTCCAATTCCCACATGGCCATGGAAATCCATTGGATGACCTTGGGCAAGTCATACTCTCAGCCTCAGAGGAAGGCAAACCCCTGTGAACAAATCCTACCAAAAAAAATCCTATCATGGGATTGCCATAAGTAGGAAACATCTTAAAGGCACATTTATGCTTTCTAACCTACTATTACATACAGCCAAATAATTGGTTTGAAACAAGATCAAGCAGAATATAGATTTGGATGTACAGGGAGATCTCTGGATAGTTTTGAGTAGATTCCCAAGAATTTCTAACTTGCCTGAAAGGAATGGGAGGAAGTCGTGGCTATTTCCTTATTTCCCAGGCTCACTATTCTTCATCTGTAAAATAAAAACACCAGTGAGCTGCTTTTGATCAGATCTTCATGGAGTCCCCTGTGGTGTAATGGGTTAAACCTTTGTGCCGGCAGGACTGCTGACTGGAAGGTCAGTGGTTCAAAACCAGGGAGTGGGATGAGCTCCTGACTGTCAGCTCCAGCTTCTCATTTGGGGACATGAGAGAAGCCTCCCACAGGATGTTAAAACATCTGGGTATCCCCTGGGCAACATCCTTGCAGGCAGCCAGTTCTCTCACACCAGAAGCAACTTGCAGTTTCTCAAGTCACTCCTGACATTAAAAAACAATCAGATCTTCATTTAGCTCTGCTGCCTACTGCTAGAGTAACATGATAGAATTCTTGGTCCAAAGTCTTTTAGCTTTTGGGGCTATTTTAACTCATTTGAATTCTTAGATATGTTTTTATTTTGTTTAAATTACTGTTGATTTTAATTTGAATTTTTAAACATTATTTTATCGGTTTGCAGCACTGAGGATCTCATAAGAAAAGGAAAGAATAAATATACATTCCAGTGTATGTTTTGTGATGTATACTTTGTATTTGAAACACTATTCAATTCTGCATTCAATAAGAAACAAAACAGATCTCACAACTCTTGGATTAGTCCAATCCTTTATCTTTATTGCATTATTGTTTATACAGCCTGCAACGCACACTAATGATAACTGCTACATCTTCTTGCAACTTGATGAATTAACTGACAACCGAGTTTTATGTTTAGGTATCATTTACCATTGTGATCTCACCAAAGAAGAACTGGAACCAAGTGTTTTCCGTGAGGTCACGGTGAAAGGGTTTGATCCTTCAGCTTACCAGACAGTACAGGTAAGTAAAAGAAGTTACGCTGTGTTTATAGGTTCTAGTGATCTCTAGTAAAAACTAAGATTTTAGGCAATAAAACCCCTTGCAACCGACATTTCAGTCAGTTTTTGTACCATTGTAACTATAGTTTTGGATGGAAACCATTAGGGCATTTCACAATTTCTGCAAAATAATTGCTGTTTCCTCTTAAGAAGCATGTTCATTTGACATCCCACCACACTGTGGTTTTTACAATTAGGGTTTGCTGTCATTCATGGTCTGTTTCCTTGGGAGTGTATTCTTAAGATATTCCTAACCAGTCCTATCCAGGGATCTTTGGGGAGCTGGTTTCAAAATATGAAACAAATGTGATTGTATTTTCAATTGCAACTGGAGCATTTAGAGGTGATCTGGACTGGTCAGATGGGAAAAGGGAAAGGCTAAAGTTGTGGTGGTTTGGAGGACACCAGGGACACAGCTTCTTCAGCATCAGCTCCCTTCCCTGCTTAGAAACTGTATCTCAAATGGAAGCTCGCCATACTGCTCTGTGTGTCTTTGCGTGAGTGTGTCTGTATTTATGCAGAACTCTGCTTCATGTTGGTTGATAGAAATACACTATGGACAAATATTGTTGTTTCCTTCAGGGGTGAGAGAGTTCCATCTTGTGTTCTTATAAAAGACATGGTTTTGTAATTTTAATAAGCACAGTGTCCCTAAGTCCAGCGAGATGATGATAATTGAATTCAAATACCCGTGTAATTAAAGTGTTTCAATGGAAGGAGAAACCTAATGGGTATCTAAGGTTATCCTATTTACAGAGCCTAAAATCACTTCTATGCTTGCATCAATTCATGTTATGGAACAATGGAAGATTCAGCATCATTCATGGATTGAGTTAGGAGCCTCCTGTGGCGCAGTGGGTTAAACCCCTGTGCTGGCGGAACTGAAGATCCAACAGGTCACAGGTTCGAATCCGGGGAGAGGCGGATGAGCTCCCTCTACCAGCTCCAGTTCCTCATGCGGAGACATGAGAGAAGCCTCCCACAAGGATGATAAAACATCAAATCATCCGGGCGTCCCCTGGGCAACTTCCTTGCAGACGGCCAATTCTCTCACACCAGAAGTGACTTGCAGATTCTCAAGTTTCTCCTGACATGACAAAAAAAAATGGATTGGGTTGCATCATTCAGAAATTTTCTGCTGTTTTGTTTTTGAAAAAGGATTATTACTAAAGAAAGCAGTAGTTTCAATCAGTCTGAATACAGAATTAAAATTATCACTCCTAGGAAATATTATAAATTAAAATTTAGCATTCCCTTTTAAAAATTAGACAAATAATCTGTTTAAAATAGGTTTGTTGTTGTTGCTGCTGTTTATTCATTCAGTTGCTTTCGACTCTTTGTGACCTCATGGACCAGCCCAAGCCAGAGGTCCCTGTCGGCCCTCACCACCCCCAGTTTCTTCAAAGTCAAGCCAGTCACTTCAAGGATGCCATCCATCCATCTTGCCCTTGGTCGGCCCCTCTTCCTTTTTCCTTCCTTTTCTCCCAGCATCATTGTCTTCTCCAAGCTTTCCTGTCTTCTCATGATGTGGCCAAAGTACTTCATCTTTGCCTCTAATATCCTTCCCTCCAATAAGCAGTCGGGCTTTATTTCTTGGAATATGGACTGGTTGGATCATCTTGTAGGTAGCCTAAATCTTTATTGCATATAGCATGTTTTAATATAGCTAACTTTACAGAAGAAATGCTTGTTTTATAATAGAGTTGATAATCCTTTAAGTGCCACAAATATTGTTTCTTTTTACATCAGACTAACATGGTTACTTACACCTTTGTAAATATGATTTCACAACACAGGAACATAATCAGAAGAGACAAATTAGGAGTTGACATTTTTCAGATTTCCAAATGCAGCTTGGAGTCTGCTGATTTTGATGTTGGTTTGAAGGAGCAGTGCTCCAGAATGACCCCTGATTTCAGTGACCATGCAGATGAGCCTTCAATAATGAGATTTGTGTGTGTGTGTCAGGAGCAACTTGAGAAACTGCAAGTTGCTTCTGGTGTGAGAGAATTGGCCGTCTTCAAGGACATTGTCCAGGGAACACCTGAATGTTTTGATGTTTTAGCATCCTTGTGGGAGGCTTCTCTCATGTCCCCCGCATGGGGAGCTGTAGCTGACAGAGGGAGCTCATCCGCGCTGTCCCCGGATTCAAACCTCCAACCTGTCGGTCTTAAGTCTTGCCAGCACAAGGGTTTAACCCATTGTACCACCGGGGGCTCCAATAATGACATAAGAAGGACATTTGTCAGAGAAGCAACCAAGAGACTAGAAAAGATCTTTCTAATTCTAGAACTATCCAGAGAAACTGTCCCTGTGACAACTGTTACCAGAAATGAAGCAAAGCTGAGCTTTTTGAAAGCGTGGTGAGGTGAAACCCATTGCTGAAACAAATCTATATCAAACCCAATTTTTTTGCCAAATAGTGACACAGCAGAATTATTTTGAAAATAATTCTCTAATCTGATGAATCAAAAAATGAGCCTTATGAGAATACCATCTCCTTGAGGAAACCATTTTGGCAGTCTTTTTTCCTAGGCAGCAAATGGGAAAGTAGGTAGTACTGAAGGAAAGATAAATAAAAAATAAAATGTGGCTTTGGAGAAAAACCCACTTTAGTCTGCAATGGTTCTGGAAAATGATGGATGAATGGGAAATTTTCCTTCCATCAGGGCATCAATAGAGCAAAAACATGGAAAGTGTAGCACTAGAGTGGTTGAAAAAGAGGAATCTGGAGGTCTTAAAATGCTCCAGCTAAAGTCCATACCTCAAACTGAGAAACTATAGCAAGACCTGAAATTTATTGTTAATCTTTGATCCTTTCCAGCTTGACAGAAAAACTAAGTAATTGTCCCCAAACATCCTTTTGTAAAATATTGATGGATGAATGAGAAGACTGTTTTGCACATACAAAGCATTGAGTGTCCTGTGTACATCAAGTAGTAATGTTAGTTACATTTATTTCAACTCCAGTCTGCTATACAATAAAATGTGGAAAAGTCAAAGTGGGAGGTGAATACAGCAAGGCACTGTATCCTCCACAGCAAAAAGAAGCTCCCACCATCTTGCACATTTTAGTCCTTCAGGAAGATTGAGGGGGCATATTTTCTGCTGCTCCTGAGAATAAGACCCCAGTCAATGGAACTAGTGTGACAACATTCTTCTTTTGCCAACCCTTTTAATGATTTGAACCTGCAGGTTTTCACTCTTACTACTTTTAAATTTTAGTTACTTGATGTTATATTTGTTCTGTTTTTTATTATGCAATTTGGGAAGCCTTGTTGGGGCAAAACAGTAGTATGCAAACTACTTTTATAAATATATCTTTAAGTGCAAAACACTTTGGCTTAGTTTTATTTTTGGTTTAAATTTTTAAGAAGGGGAATGAAAATGAGTATTTTGTTGGTTCACTGACTAATTGCTTTGCACGCTTCAGACACTTTTGGCCATGACCTTCTGTTTGAAATGACACTAGCTGCCAAGCCATGTGTGGGGAAATTCTATCTGTAGCATCTTAGTAATGTGAGAAGCAGCAAAGGATACGGTTGCTTCCCCTCTGATACAGCATAATTTAAATCACACATAATCATTATGAGAAATAGCAGGACTGCTTACCAATTCTATGCAGACGATTCACCGTTTTCAATGGATATTACTGCTAGATCAGTGTAGGATAAGTATAGGGGGTTTAGTTAATCAGTTGATTTCTTTTTATATTCGGTGGGAATAAAAGTATTCAAGAATTTCAAATCCTTTTATTTTTTAAGGATACCCATACAATCTCTTTTAGAACTTGAATTATTTATTTTGTCTAAAAACAGTTTCATGGGAAATGGAGTTTCCTCCCAACAACTTTTTTTTTTAAAAAAATCATATTTCAGACTTAGAAAACCAAGAGATTTAAAATCAAGTTCAATTATAAATCAGCTAGATAATATACAGTATGACCACTACATCCACATTGGTATTTTCCTGGAGTTATTGTGGATACATGAATATAAACACATATTGCAATTAATGATTTCTGGTATGCTGAAGGACCTCAAAAAAGCCTAGAGAGAACATATTTTGCCTGTCTCACAAATGTGTACTTTTATGAGTTTGTCCCATATGCCCAGACCTTGTAAAACTGCAATTGCAATCTGGTTGAACCACATTAGTTGAGACTGTAGTCACTGTAGTCACCTACGGATGTGAGAGCTGGAGCATAGGGAAGGCTGAGCGAAGGAAGATAGATGCTTTTGAACTGTGGTGATGGAGGAAAGTTCTGAGAGTGCCTTGGACAGTGAGAAGATCCAACCAGTCCATACTTCAGGAAATAAAGCCCAGCTGCTCATTGGACGGAAAAATAGTAGAGGCCAAGATGAAGTACTTTGGCCACATCATGAGAAGAAAGGAAAGCTTAGAGAAGACAATGATGCTGGGGAAAATGGAAGGAAAAGGAAGAGGGGCTGACCAAGGACAAGATGGATGGATGGTATCCTTGAAGTAACTGGATTGACCTTGAAGGAGCTGGGGGTGGTGACGGCCGACAGGGAGCTCTGGCTTGGGCTGGTCCATGAGGTCACGAAGAGTCAGAAACTACCGAACGAATGAACAACAACAATAAGTATATTGGTGTGGTGGCTTGAGTGTTCGATTATGATTCTGGGAACTAGGGTTCAAATGAGCCATGGAAACTCACTCGGTGACCTTGGCCAAATCACACTCTCGCAGAAGAAAGCAAATGTAAATCATTTCTAACCAAAACGCGAACAATATCATGTGATAGTTTTACATTGGAGTCACTATAAATCAGAAATTATTTGAAGGTACATAGCAACAAAAAGCACTCCTTACTTTCCGTCATCAGAAAGTAAAAAAGCAATAACTCTGGACTTTCTACATGCTTTTTGTTTACTAGTATTGCTGCTCTCCCTAAGTACGCAGATAAATTTATCATGGGTTAGAGATGTGTTCAAATGT